CAGCTTTTAATCCATTTATTGTGTGTCTGTGGCAGACCGTGTACCCCAGCATCCCTTTGTGGCAGGGGTAGGATGGGGTGCCGGGGCCTCACCACTCTCCAGTCCTAACATCCGCCTCTCTGCGGACGGTCAGGCCTTTCTCCCTACTATCACCCCTATCGGGCGTGATAGCGCAACCTAGCTGTCGGAGTCCATACAAACCCCCTTACAGACTGGGTAGCACGGCCAGAGTCCATACAAACCCCCTTGCGAGCAGGGTAGCGCAGCCCGAGACCATACAAACCCCCTTGCGAGCAGGGTAGCGCGGCCCAGTGGCCAGAGTCCATACAAACCCCCTTGCGAGCGGGATAGCGCGGCCCAGCGGCCAGAGTCAATATAAGATCCCTCACGGTTCGGGGGTAAAGGAGTTGTGGGACTCGGGCCCGCCCTCTCCACCGAGTCCCAACCCAGGGCCCTGTTAGTGGCAAGTTCTCCTTGCCCCTCGCTCGGCAGGGATCCGCCGGCAACATGCCGAGCGTCAATGCAGCGCTAACGCTGTTTGTCTCTAGCGTTCCCCTGGGTCACTTCCTACCAGGAATACCAGTTCATCTGCAGCAGGGGGTCCTCTGGTCGGTTCCTGCCCTGGGACGTCCTCCGTCGGGGTCTCAGGTGGTGCCTCGGCTTGACTGACTCCCAGATCCTGGCTCGCAGGCCCTCCCTCTGCAGGAGCTAGCGGCGTGCATCCTTTTCCTCCGGCAGTCAGCCTCAACTGAGCTGATCTGCAGGCTTTTATATCTGTTCTCCAGTTGGAGCATGCCCAGCAGAGCTTCCGGGGCATGACTTCCTCTGCATGGAAGGAAGGGTTAACCCCTGCTGTACCGGTGCGGGGCCCCTCTGCCCCGTCACAGTGCCATTTTAACTTTATACCTGAAATGTAACAGAAGAAAGGAACAATGTAACTCAAACATTATCCACAACCATCACCAGTCTTCACAGAAAAAAAAAATAATAATAACACCCAACAACAATTGACGAGGGAGGGAGATAAATATTCCCACAAAACAACAAGCACCATTCATTCCAATATTTTAAATATGTGTGCATTATATATTATGTTATTAAACTGTAAGAAAGGAAGAAACATTATGAGGCACGAAAAGCCAGGAAGCTTCCCTCTTTTTATTAAATCAAATACTCTCCTCATGAAGTCAAGATTAAATTAGATATTGCAAATAAATTTGGTTTTAAATCTCACTTTTGTCTCTTAGTGACCTTTTAAATTATTATGTTTCTTTTATATAATGAATGTGTAAAATATTCTGTAAATAGACCCATACATTTAGGTTGGTTAAATGTAATTTTCTTAAGGTATACTTACAGTATTTGAGTTATAAGTATGTCATTCAATAAATCTAAGTATAATGTTCAGTTTTTTTCAAATAAGTTATTCCTCTATGACTTTATTCATAACTATAAAACTCAGTGTGATTCACATTACTGGAAGACTAGACAGTTACAGTAACAATATAATCAGGTACGACTGAACATTCAAACCTTCACTTGATTGCTAAATGAAATATAGTGGCAACCTCTAGATGGTGCTCATTAAATTTGCCAGGCACTAAAACATTGTGAAATTATATTTAGTAAATGTGTCAGTTTAACCCACAGAATATAATTTGGTTTATTTTCTCCGAGTTGTGTGTTTTGTGGTATCTGTAGTTTTCTAGCATATTGTTCTCTATTTCCTATGTAGGTTTAAATGTTATTCATCTGTGCAAATGATGTTTTCTGTTTAAATATGGAGAGCATTGACAGCCCTCAGTCTGAATTCTAATATTAACATTTATCTTCACTAGTGAAAACTAACAGCTCAGAAGTGATGTAGCCTTAACTGACTTATCTTTTGTCTCCTCATGAGTGAAGATGAATAATAGATCACAGCTGAACCACACACACTTGTACTTCTTTAGTATGTTTCCTCAGATAAATTCTCCTGTATTTTATTTGATACTTTCAGACCTGATCCTCCTCTCATTAACTTCGGTGGGAGGATGATTAGACCCTACATTTATCAAAGTGAGCAGATTAAAAGAAAAAAAGTTAAATAAATGGAAAGAAAATTAAATGACCAAATGAATGACTGAACAACAAAAAAAACAGCAAAATTTTTATCATATAACCTCTTCAGAAAACTGTGCAAACATTAGCAAACTAATCCTCACTGTGTAAACATTAACTATCTGATCTTCATCACACTCATAATAGGCATTTTAAGTAAATTGGAATTATTGCTATTTTGACTGATGGGGAAACCAAGGCACAGAGAGGTTAAATATCTTATGCAAGGCCTCGTGCTAATTCGTAAATAGAACTCAGGGTAGAGGAAGTTAAAATCAGGAAAGAAAAGATATATTTTTTCAGATTAATTGCATATATTCCAATATTATTTTTCTGCTTTTGCAGTGTTATTTCTGTTGCTATGATCATATATGTGTTCCCTCATTAGGCTAATCCATTTCTGCCCTCTTTTCACAAAGACCAGTGGCTGAAATACCACATTCTAAGCATTAATATGTGTTCTTTGAAGAGGTACACTTGTATATAGAGGCTTGATATTATTGTGAGAGAGAGGCCCAAGCGCCCCGAAATTAGATGTGGAATTGAAAAATACACACATATAGGTTCAGATTCAGGAGTTTGTTTTATCATATTGAAAAGGCCAAGTGCTAAATTTGAACCTAGATGTGGTTTCAGTTTCTAAATCTATATAGTTTACTGGTGTTTGGACATTAGCCAGGATCAGATATTAAACCAGGGACCTTCAGAGCTAAAAGTATAAGTTACTAAAGTTTGAGCTATAGAACCAGCAGGGGCCTATAACAGACTCACATCTTCTGTGGATTAAGCAGAGAGGGGGACACATAATACATGCTGATCAAAGGGTTATACTCTGAACCGTGGAATTGGTTTGGACCCATTATTAATTATTATCTAGATAATAGATAATAGTGTATCTAGGATATTCCTAGGGCCGCTAGGATATTTCAGGGTAACAAGCCTTATGGATGGGGGAAGCGTAGATGTCATATATCTTGATTCAGTAAGGCTTTTGATACTGTCTTGCATGACCGTCTCATAAACAAACTAGGGAAATACAACCTAGATGGAGCTACTATAAGGTGTGTGCATAGCTCGTTGGAAAACTGTTCACAGAGAGTAGTTGTCAGTGGTTCATAGTCAAGCTGGAAGGGCATATCGAGTGGGGTCCTGCAGGGATCAGGTCTGGGTCCAGTTCTGTTCAATATCTTCATCAATGATTTAGATAATGGCAAAGAGAGTACATGTATAAAGTTTGTGGATGATACCAAGCTGGCAAGGGTTTGCAAGTGCTTTGGAGGATAGGATTAAAATTCAAAATGATCTGGACAAACTGGAAAAATGGTCTGACGTAAATAGGTTGAAATTCAATAAGGACAAAGGCAAAGTACTCCACTTAGGAAGGAACAATCAGTTCCACGAATACAAAATGGGAAATGACTGCCTAGGAAGGAATTCTTCAGAAAGGGATCTGGAGGTCATAGTGGATCACAAGCAAAATATGAGTCAACGGTGTAAGACTGTTGCGGGGGAAAAAAAAGCAAACATTATTCTGGGATGTATTAGCAGCAGTGTTGTAAGCAAGACACTAAAAGTAATTCTTTCACTCTGTTCTGCACTGATTAGGCCTCAACTAGAGTATCCAGTTCTGGGTGCCACATTTCAGGAAAGATGTGGACAAATTGTAGAAAGTCCAGAGAAGAGCAACAAAAATGATTATAGGTCTAGGAAACATGAGGGAAGATTGAAAAAACCTGGGTTTGTTTAGTCTGGAGAAGGGAAGACTGAGGGGGACATAATAACAGTTTTCAAGTACATAAAAGGTTGTTACAAGAAGGGGGTGAACTTGTTATCATTAACCTCTGAGGATAGGATAAGAAGCAATGGGCTTAAATTGCAGTGGTTAAGGGCAGTTTAGACTGGACATTAGGAAAAACTTCTTAACTGTCAGGGTGGTTAAAGCAGTGGAATAAATTGCCTAGATAATACTTAGTCCTGCCATGAGTACAGGGGACTGGACAAGATCACCGCTCAACGTCCTTTCCACTCCCATGCTTCTATGAACAATCCCAAAACATTTTTTGTTCTTAGAAGCATGAAAAATTAAGGTAATCCAAACTTATTGTTACATTTTCAAGAAACATTAGGTCTAGTTTTAGATAAAGATTCAGTTCAGTCTTTATTTTCACCAGATCCTTTCATCTGGTCTTGCTGGTAATATGAACTGCCATAAGTAAATTCCAGTGGTTTTTTATTATTATTTTTACAAACTTTGTTAAGGTAAAATATTTGTTACTTGAAAAGCAGGTGCTTTCTTCAAATACCTGGATTAGTAGTTCAAATTAGTACATTTCTATCTATATGTTCATATAACAATGAAATCAGTACTCACTGAGAAATCACAACAAACACATACAGCCTGCAGGAAGTTACATGCCACAGCCTGAAGGACAGAAACACTATAAAAGCTGTCTTTCTAGTGTGTTTGGGGAAATAACCCTCCAATCAATAAAATACAGTACAACTAACAGAAAAATGGGTTGATCTTATAGAATGGGGGAGGGAGGAAAGAAGTGACATAGATTATATTTACCAGACAAAAGAAAAAGCATAGATAAACTAAATTGGTTGCAAATAATTCCCTTACTCGACAATATATATGTTCTGTATAATAAAGGACAGCAAAAGAAATCAAGAAACTGAAAAAAGATTCTAATATTTTCATGTTTAGGAATCAATAATATGTTACAAAGCATGAATATGGAAATTTCCTTGTAACAAACATGCCTATTAGCGAGATATCTCTTTAAGAGATCTATTGGGGGAATGGATAGGAATTAGTTGTGTCTGGGTCATTGTTGCTAGGCAGATACACAATTAACTCTCCACACTCAGAAGTTTCTGCAATTGGGTCTTGTAGTTTTGGGTATGCTCAATAAGTTCTCTGTTGCTGGACTTAGACTCCATTAGGGCAAGTAGTCATGGCAACTGCTTTGCAAAATGCCATGTGCACTGTGTGATTTGGGAGAAGCTGAGCCCCAAGAGCAGAAAGCAGGCTGTTTTCCCTAACATGTTGCAGCAGGTTAGTGATATTGTTAACCCTCCAACAGGGAAGCCCTGGCAGTGTTAATTATAGAAAGGGAAAATTGGGAGGGAAAAGTAATTTATTTTAATTCTATACTTTGTTGTTTGATTTTAGCAAAACTATTTTAATTAATTTTTCTCAACTAGTATGATTCACTAACTTTTCTCTTATTTAAATGTGATGATGGAGAAAGAGTCATTTATTTTGCTTTTCTCCTTCTTTTGTATTTTTATTGTAACAGTTTTTTTTAATCTATATGCTTAACTGAGTGGTTGGTTAATTGGTTAGCTGACTAGCTAAGTGAGTGATTTCAGCAGAGGAGGAGGAAGAGTCTGCATAGATTCTAACTGAAGATTCCTACAAGCAGGGAAGGGAAGATGTTGCTTTTGAATCAGCAGACTGTGTATATTTGCTGATCAAAGACATTAACTCAGACTCAATCAAAGCTTTTGGGAACTGAGTTTTTTCTCACTGTGTTTCTTTCTGTGGGTACTGACCTGTTTAGATTTTTTTTTCATTTATGTTTATGTATAACTGTGAAGATAATGTATGTGGCTTATAAAGTAGCCATGTTATGTTATTATTTATTATGTTTCTTTATCATAAGATTTTATAAAGTTTGTACTTAAGAATCAAGTTAATTCCTTTTGTTCTTTTTGGGACTTGACTGTGAGGAGGTTGACCCTGTGCAATCCTTGTTGAAAACCCTTAGAGACTGAATTCTGGGTCTCCAGCTACTTTTCTATGGAAGTTGGGTTTTTTTAGGCACTGGAAAAGGGCAATAAAGTAAACGCTAGCCCACCCAAAGATTACACTAGTACAGGGGTCGGCAACCTCTGGCACGCGTCTCGCCAGGGTAAGCACCCTGGTGGGCCGGACCAGTTTGTTTACCTGCCGCATCCGCAGCCACTTCCCGCCACCCCCACTGGATATGTGGCTTATTCAACAATCTATCACCCACTAACCGTCCCACCCCTCTGTGCATGCACACACACACACACAGGTTCTCCCCATCTCCTTTCCCTCCCATGACTGGAGAGGTGTTAACTGGACATTTCACCTTGAATTGTCCCTTGAAATACTCATTATCTACCTATGCATCTGGTACATAGGTAGCCTACACAATCTGTTCCACTTTTTGTGTAGTTGAGACAGTCTGAGTATACTTCGCAGATCTGAAGATGAACTCTGTGTAAGCTCAGAAGCTTGTCTCTCTTGCCAACAAGTTGGTCCAATAAAAGATATTACCTCACCCACCTTGTCTCTCTAATAATATCTATCATCACTTATGTAATCAAAACAAATTCCAGCCAAAGCAACAAAAGTGTGGAATTATGGACAAGTCACATTATAATTAATCTAAGCGAAGCTGGCAAAAATTGGCTTTTCTTCTCCTCGCTTACAGAGGGAGCAAAGAGTTCCATAACTCTATGTCTTCCAGTCCTCGGGCTTATATGAATATTCAAATTTGGCTTACCATCCATATTCCTGTCATCACAGTGCATCTTAACAGATCAACAGATTTATTTAAAGCATCTCATAGATGACTATGTATATTTCTTTGGAATAAATGCATTAATCAGAAACTAATAAATGGTAGCTTCTATAGAATTCATGTGATATTAATTAAATCAGCAGATGGCACTATTACAGATACAGTTCTGAGTCTTTTTGTTGGAATGTAAAGGAGTCTAAGCATCATTTCAAGATCTTTGTTAGTTCTCCTTAAATGGTGAACATTAAGAACATAACATAAAAATATAAGAATGGCCATGCTTGGTCAGACCAATGATCCAAGTATCCTGTATCCCTTAGCCTAGTATCCTGTCTTCCAACAGTGGCCACTGTAGCCCACGAAAGCTTATGCCCTAATAAATTTGTTAGTCTCTAAGGTGCCACAAGTACTCCTGTTTTTTCAACAGTGGCCAGTGACAGATGCTTCAGAAGGAATAAAAAGAACAGGACGATTATCGCATGATCCATCCCCTGTTGTCCAGTCCCTATATCTAGCAGTCAGAGGCTTAGGGACATCCAGAGGCTAATCATCTTGGCTAATAGCCATTGCTGGACCTGTCCTCGAAGAATTTACCTAATTCTTTTTTGTAACCAGTTTTACTTTTGGCCTTCACAACATCCCATGGCAATAAGTTATCAGAGGAGAAAAGAGCTCGCAAAAGGCACAGTGCAAAGGGTCAAAACATCACCTGTAAATGTGACATATGCGGCAGAGATTGTCTCTCTGGAGTGGGTCTCTTCAGCCTCGTCTGCGGCTGCCATAAAATGAAGTGAGTAAATTCTTTACCTCTCAGGGGTGCATACCAATGGTCTCTTGAGATTGAAGGATGCCTACTACTTACTGTTATTATTCAAGCACAGAATTTCCCTCCCTAGACATTCAATGGTACAGTTTGATTCATTGAGATTTTTAGTATATTTGACTCTATGCTTTTTCACATATAGTACCACTCTGCCACCAGCATGACCTACTCTGTCATTCCTATACATTTGGTACCGTGTTCCATTAATTAGCATAATTGCACACAAAGTTTCTGTGATGCTTATAATATCAATAGCCTCATTTAATACTAATCATTCAGGTTCACCCATCTTAGTATTAGACTTTGTATACAAGGGTTTATAAAATTGGTCAATATTTAGTTGTCTGCCCTTACGTGATATAATTGAATGGGATTCTTTTTCATTTGACTTTTTTTCTTCAGTTCCTACCTTTAGTTTACCAACTTCTATTCTTTCCTCTTAAAAAACCACCACAAACAAACAAAACAGTGCTGCAGTAGTAAAAATAATGCAGGCAGAAGTCCAGCATCAGAATGGGGGCAGCATGTTTGACTACTTACCCTGTGGACAGGTGGTGTATATGTGCACTTGGTGAAAGTTGTTTATGGCCATCCGAGACTGAGTATGGCCTCTTGATGCCAGAGTGGCTGAACTGTAAGAGCTAAGGGAGACAGAGAGGTACATAGATGAGACTTTCTGGGACACAGTAGAGCAGTCCCACCCCCAGTCTGACACCCTCTGTTCTTTTGAGGAGGATGAAAGTCTTAGGGAAAGAGAACATCAAACTGGAGCAGAAGGGAAATGATCTTTGCAGATGATGTCATGGTATCCTCTCATACCAAGGATACTCATCCCCGGGAGGCAATCCCATTTATACATGTAATAGTATTGGAGGATTTGATCATTAGAAATATAGATAGTTGGGTTTGTGATGACTGAGAGAACTGCGTGGTAAATTGCCTGAAAGGTGCAACAGTCGTGGAACACTTGAGACGTCTAGACAGACTTAGGTGTAGTTCTGGTGAGGATCCAGTGGTCGTGGTACATGTGGGTACCAATGACACTGGGAAAGATAGGTGAGAGGTCCTGGAGGCCAAAGTTAGGCTGCTAGGTAAGAGATTAAAGTCCAGGATATGCATGGTAGCGTTCTCTGAGATGCTTCCAGTTCCATGCACAGGGCCAATTAGACAGACAGAACTGCAGGGTCTCAATTTGTGGATGATACAATTGTGCAGGGAGGAGGGTTTTAGATTTATTAGGGACTGGAAGCCTTCTGGGAAAGGAGGAACCTATACAGGAAGGATGGGCTCCACCTCAGTCAAAATGGAACCAGATTGCTGGCATGTAAACTTAAGGTCATAGAGGTGTTTTTAAACTAAGGGCTGGGGAAGAGACGACTCCTACCTGCTGAAACTGGGAAAACACAATGTAAAGGTGGGGAGGGGCATGTGTTGCCTCTGGGAGGAGCCTTCCAGCCCTACATCCATGGGCCAGGGCAGCCAATCCCACAGGCTCCTCAGTAGGGGAGGGTGTGAGCAATGCCCCTAACTCAGGCTGAGCAGAGGGAACCTTCTCCCAGTGCCTTCCCCAGCAATCCCCCTACTCTATGTCCGGCTCAGGGCCACTGCACTCTCCCCACCAGAGTTACCTTTGTGGAAGTTCTGTCCTTTTCCTGCTGCTCCTCTACCGGCGCATTGCCGGCTCACTTGCCCCTGTTCCTGGCACCGGGCAGCGAGCAGAGAAGGTGGGACGGAGCCATGTCTCATGCTGGCTGAGGGTGGCCACTCTGGGTGGCTGCCTGACAGAAAGCCCAGCTGGGGAGGCAGTAGCAGCCCAGGACAGGGGCAGAGTGAGCCAGAGCTCCCCCTCCCCAGTACATTTCTGGCTCTATAATCTAGTAAAGAGGAGAGGAACATCCCATCAGTGAAGTCTCTCCAGTCTCAATCTAAGGATCATTTATAAGTGTAGAGTTGCTACATGCAGGTTGTACCAACAGTTGCAAATGAACATAACATGGTGGCAAAACATTAGGAGCTGGATTTTCTGGTCTGCTAAATCTACTTTGTGATGTGTAATCTTTTACACTAAAATCATAGAAGTGGAAGGGTCCTTGAGACTTCAGTGGATCCACTCACATATGAGAAGTTAAGCACATGTGTGCCAGATCAGGACTATAGATTGCCCGCCACACTGGGAATCTATGTCCTTAGCTGATTCTCCATCATCAGTTGTGCTGGGCCACACATGGTGGCATTTGTTGAACCTGCTCTGATCAAGTAATGTATCAGAAGAATTAATTTCATACTTTAGACAACCCCCTCATACTCACCATTACTTTGAGGATAACACAATGAATGTAATGTGATGATAGGCATAAATGTATATAATTATTTGCTGACAAACTGTGAGCCATTGTCTGTGACAAGTTTATCTGGACTTCTCCACTAAGCAACATATTCCATCCTGGTTGGAAAGGTTTGGGTAAGTGTGAACATTTCAGCATCTGAAAAAGTAGAGAAGTCCAGCCAAATTATTCTGTCCCCATACCTCAGATATCAGTTTGCACCTTCCTTAAGCCTCTGGTTGGCAGTTGAGAAACTATTATTTGTTTCTGAGGCTGGGATTAGTTTGAGTATTGTGGATCCCTTTCCAAATCCCAGCCAATAGACAGACATCTTTGCTCATTAAAGATCTTTGCTTATGCTCAAGTAATCATTCACTCAGTCTCACTCGCTGCTTTTGTGCAGAGATAGAATATATACCTCCATAAAGTAAATTAGACTGCATGAGATTAGCCTTCCATATGACAATGTTTTGGTGTTGGGAATACTTCAAATATATTTATACATTTGTACTTTTCAATAGCAACCCTGTGATAAGTGAAGCATTGCATCTAGCAAAGTAAATCACCATGATGACTAAATGCAAAAGCCTCCGATGTATAAAATGTTGACTTTTTCAGTTTTCTCTCTCTCTCTCTCTCTCTCTCTCTCTCTCTCTCACACACACACACACACACACACACTACTACTA